TCAGATGAGCTGAACTGCAATGTTGCATGAGCTTTGATCTGATCTCTTTAATCAGTGTTTCCCAAATGCTAAATGTCTCAGCCTCATATAGTATTCATCTATTCCCTCTGCAGCTGGCCATTGTTGCTTTCCCAAGCATACATATTTTAAACTCAATGTTGGCTTTAGGGTCCAAATAATCTAAAGAGGCATTTTACGTCTGCTTGGAACTTCTCCTCCTGCATAATGCAAAGGCAAAGCTCTTTTCCTGGTATTGTTACTGTAAAGGCCAAGTATATATTTTACAGTCCTATTGTCCATTTTATCCCTCACCTTGTACCTGCAGTGCTATCTGAATGTACTTCCCATCATGAGGACATTGGCAGTCCTCAAGAAGCCACATTGCAATTGGAGAACTGACACCTGCAATTTTCCACCTCTTCTGTTCCCCCAGAGAAGGAAGCCATTTTTTTCTGTCACTTGTTTGCTTTCCCAGTCCATTTCTAGGCTTGGATTTCTCATCTGTACTGATGTGCAAAAGCACAAGCAGCCCACCTTTCAACATTTGAAAGGAAGAGCCAAAAGTCCAAATGGCTTTTGCACAACTCAGCCACTCTTACAGTTTTTTCCCCTTCACCGGCAACCCACGCAGAATATTGCAGAAATATTGCAAATGCCTCCCTACTTCCAATTACCCATTTTGCTGAGATATGGGATTTGTTTGCTGGCAACGGGAGGGCTGGGAGGGGAGGACCTGTTGTGTCACGTGTGGGCAGATCCCATTTCAAGTTGGCCCTAGACTCAAAGGAATCTGGGATCAAACTCTGAAATAGACCACAACCTTCTGAGACAGTGGTATATGCCTCTTGAGCCTACACCTACCCCCACAGTCAATATTGCTATGTTTTACCTCATTCACTAGATAGACTATTGCAGGAAACCCTCAGTTGCCTTCAACTAACATCTTTGATCCAACAGCCTTTAACTTGCTTTCTTTTCTCACCTCCACTTCTTCTGTGTGAGCTGCCTTCATCTGAAGTGACAGACACACCTTTTCAGAACATGCCACTGCACAACCAGTGTTACTGTTCTTCAAAACATGGCTTCTGTAAAAAATATATGGCTGACCAGTGGCTATGAACTCATAAGGTTGAGTTTCAGTCTCTCCTTATAAAATAGAAGGCTTTGTTTTATACAGGCACTTCTCGTTTATCTTCAAAAGGATTTTCTAAAGCTCACAATACAAGTTGCAATTTTTATCTTTTATCACCCTGAAACTTTTTCAGCTCAAAGTGGCTCTCTCACAGCTGCTTTTTCATTTGTGAGGAGAAAGATGCAGGGTTCCCTCATCTTTCCTTTGCTTTCTACTCAGAGATGAGATGGCAACTCAGAAAGGAAAATTTTGAGCTGAAAATGACAGAAGAGGAATCTAAAGGAGCTTCTCCCCAATCTAAGCCTGAGATGCCCGATAACTCCTGAATAGTAGATAGTTGTCACAAAACTTTCATTTAAACGCAGCAGCTTTAGACCTTGTCATGACAAGTCATGGCAATGTTTGGAATCCTGCACAGTGCCTGAAATTCTTTCACAGAATGTAACACAATAGATTTTTTGAGGATTTAAATATCAACAGCAAATTTAAAAGAAAATTGAAAGCTTACCCATGAATTCAATTCCTAAATGGTGAGCTATACACCAAGGAAAGCATGTAAATGAAGGACAAAAGAAAGAGAAGGTAAACATTAGTAAGGAGCCATTGAAACCAAATACATTATTACAAGCTGTAAGCACAAAAACATTTGAGCCTCATTCATGGATGTATCAAAATTGCTAGGATACTCCCATATGACATAGAATGCTAGAATTTGGTGCACATATAGTCCAAAAGCATTCCTGTTAATAGACAATACATATAATTGGGACATTTGTACACCTCTCCATCAAAGCAAGTGTACCCCAACATTGTTATGGAACTTCCACACTAAATCCTACATGTGTAGAATTCGTAGCACATACAGCCAAAAGATGCTGCTTCCTGGAAAACGTTGCCAAATGTATATGAAGTATATCCCCCCAAAGTTGAAGTTATCTATGTCTCCAAAAATATATTTAAAAACATATATTACAATACAAGGCACCATGATTAATAAATGCATTTAGAAATGACACATATTGGGGGCATGTTGGACTGCAGTGGGGGAGAAGAGGAAGGGAAAGCCCTATTATTTGTGGAAGAGAATTCTGACTTTTGCTTCACAGGATATCACCCATTTTAGGGTCCTTCACATCAACTAAAACCTGGAAAAAGATTATCCAAGACAATATGGTTACTTTACTTGAAATGTCTAGAAAGAGTGCAGTTATACACGTCTCCCTTTGTGTTTTGTTTTTTTTCTTGTTTATGTATTTCATGCAAAAGGTTCTTTTCCTTCCCTTTCCTTCATTCTGTAGGAATTTATACTTGCAGGTATGGTAGCTGTTCTTTTGAATGACTGTACTTTAATCATAGTTATCATTGTTGTTGGCTTGACATTTAAACAACTTACAATTGCTAAGCAACCTCAGAAATGCAGGGTACATCATGAGAGCAACAATGCAAACCTCAAAAGCTTTTCTCATAAGTGTTTCACACAATAGTTCGGCAGTGTTGGTTCAGCAATGTTCAGATGCTTCAGAATGTCCTGTACTTTCCAAAGTAGCTAAAAATAAATGCCACCTGGAAGAGAGACCTTCAGAACTCTGAATACTGATCATGTATGCTTTATATGGAATTATTTAAAATAGAACACTGCTTATCTCACAAGAAATAGCTCCAAGTGGTATCAGGAACCTTCAGAAACAAATATCTGCTTACATTGTGTAAGTTTTCAGCCTGGTTTTTACACTGCTATGGCTACAATCCAGCTGGAAGTTCTCTTCTAAGGCCCACATAACACACCAATCCTTTCCTGACTTGCAATTTTCACACTCCATGTCTCCCCCAGCAGTAGCTTTCGTCCCTGAAGTTTTCAAATGGATGGAGAGCAACACATTATTTGAATTTCTACTGGGTAAAAGGATCCATTTGCTTTTGATCTAGATCTCCACTTCAGTGGGACTTGTTCAGGATAACAAACCTGTGAATTGTTTCCAGGATGTGTACTTCTTGAGGTATATGTTTATTTTATAACAGACAATCAGCATCTGGAGAGCATCCAGTTAATAAGAGATGGACCAAATTTCATTTTGTCATTCAGACTATCAATGGCTACAGGCAAGCCCCTTGCACCCACTGAAAAGTTCGCCAGGATAGCTTGAAGTTAAAGAAACCCAGTTTCCATGGTGTTTTGATAGAAAATAATCATAGTGATGCATAATTTGCCAAACATTTCATATTGCCCACTGATCGTTCATGCAAATAGGCTCACTTTTTGCTGTACTTTGATCATACACAAAAGCATACACAATGGCTCTGTTGGATAGCTAGAAAGGGCTAGGCATACCTTTCACTGAAATTAATGGCTTTCACCCCAGACCACTTAATCCTACACTGTAATGTTCTAAAATATATTTGTAGTGGTGGTGAGGCTGTGTGCAATGATTGACTAAAATGACACAGTGGCTTAGGACTCTTAAGACTCTTGTTGACTTACTATGATGTCAAAGAGGAAGCAGGCTGAAAATCCTATGGGTGGAAGAGTAAGCAATAAGCAGCCTTGGAAAAGAGGACCAGAGGCCCGAGAGACATGGGTCAAGGTAAGGCAGAAAAGAGCTGGTAGAAAGGAGATGGGACTACAAGTAGAAGTATAGTGCACTGGGATTCACAATTAGATTCAAATTAAGATACTATATATTTGGCTGCAAGACTCTTGTCCCGTTGATTTCAGTGGGACTTAGTCATGCCTAACTTTTTCTGGATTGTATCCCAGAGATGTGGAGAATCTCATTTAAAGACATATGAACATGTGAAGTCCAAACTATGGAACTGTTAAGGGATGAGCTCTTATGCTGTGAGGTAAGGGAAGAGTCATAGCTCAGCAGGAGGGCACAAGTTTGGCATGGAAAAGGTCCCAGATGCCATCTCCAGTATCTCCCAGATTGGGCTAAGAAAGACTCCTGTCTGAAACTGTGGAGAACTGCTGCTGAATAGATTGACCAATTGTTCCTATAATGGTTATTTCACTAACCCTTATTTTGAAATTATAGAAACATTTGGCATTCAAACACCCAATGTGTGCTTGAAAGATAACACTCAACCACGTTATGATACATGACATCCACATAAGTGTTTGTCTGAGGAAAAAATATGCTAATACAGTACAATATTTATTGTGCATGGTTTATTTGGTTTGGTAAACCAGCTGAGATACCAGTAGTTTGCTTCCTTTCCAAAATATGTTATCTGATCTCCAGGAAATGAGAAATTCAGCTATAAAGCAAGATCAAGCTATGCTCCTTTTGAAAGTCTATGCAGAAGAGCTGATAAAGAAATTTTATTTTCAAAACTGGGTCAAATACGTTACAGAAATAACAATGCTTTTCAATGGCAATCTGCCATCTCCTTCAAAGGAACAGTGGTGTATGATAACAGAGAAAGGAATACTGTTGTCTTTTCTATTAAAAAAAAGTGAATGGGAAGTTGTGTATGTTTGTGAAAGCCTATGAAAGAAGTGCTTTGTTTTAAGAACAGGCAAACAATCAGAACTGAAACAATGTTCCCCAGTCGTCAAAAGCTGAGCATGTTTGTTTGATCCCAGCCATTAAAAAGGGGGGAAGAGGGTGTCACCAGTAGGATATAGGGATCCTCTCAAGAAAGCAATTCTACCCCATCCCAAAATGCCTCTGGTCTTCTACAAACATGATGTCTCCCCAAAATTCTTCCTAAGGACCTTCACATTTGCTTGAATTTTGCTGCAGATTAAATTTCAGTGGAAACTAGTGGCGTCCAAACTTTTTTCAAAGAGGGCCAGATTTGATGAAGTGAAGGGCCATGGGGGCCAACCAAAATTGTTGACCTTTTTTTAGGAATGGAGTTGTTGAGCTTCTTTTAGGATTGAAGTTGTTGAAGGTTTTTTTTATTGGATTTTAGCCCGGGAAGTAAATTGCCACTGACCAGCAGGCCGGATTAGGCCCCTGAAATGGACTTTGGACATGCTTGCTCTAAGCAAAATGTTCCTGCTCTAGGGAGGGCGGGAACGGACATCCATTGGCAGTAGAGAAACAACTCATCAAGGTTAACTAGATAGTTGCTGAAGCTGCTTGATAGTTTGATGTCAGTGATGGCTGGTGCTCACTGGGAATCTTAGGGTGGAAGGCAGAGAGGTCAACCATAGGTTGATTCAGAGCCAGTGATAGGGAGGGTCAGCTAATTCATATTTTGGTCCTGTTCCCATTCTGAATTCTCCAAGGGCAAAACTGAGACCGAAAAGGAGGAAGCTGGCAGCCGGGGCCACTCCCCGAGGTGGTTTTAAATAAGAAGGAAGACAGTTGGAGATGGTCAGGGGTTGGTGGAGCAATGCTCCATTCACCCTAATGGACTAGTTTCCAAATGCATGTCTCACAAGTCTTCTCTCCAGGCGTATGGGGCCAAATAAGGCTTTTATTTTGGAGCAGACATGTTTCTTTTTAGATACAGGAATAACTAAGGCCCATGATACCACAAAACACCTAATCGGACGTCTCCCAAGCCAAAGCCCCTTAGATGGAAGAGCAAGAGTTCCAAGGAGGCATTTTTATAGGGAGGGAGTAAACCCCTCCTACCATTTTGCAGTCTTCATTGGGAAAACACCCCCCTACTGTACGGGCAGGTAGTCCCTCCCCCTACCTGGCCTGATCACCTTGGCAATGTTTCCCAAGGTGGGATTGGGCAACTGGCTAAGGTAGGTGGAGACCTCCAGGTATCCCACCTGGGGAAGGTGAAGCCTAGCCTGTGCTAATGGTACCACATAGGGTCCAGGGGGCTGTGCGCGAGCATGCAAAGGGTGCCCCCCATTTAATGTGGGGAGTGGTCATGGCAGGAGTATTCATAGGTGGCATGCCACTTGATTATCAAATGCCAAAAAAATAAAGAACAATGGATAGCCATTGCATACATTCCCTGTTCATGAGCTTCCATAGACATCTCAATGGCCACTTGTGGTCTGGCCCAGCAGTGTAGTTCTTTACATGCTTTTTTCATTTGCCAGCAGAAAGGCAAGAGTGACAGCACTCAGATGACACCTTAACTCGACCACGTAGCCAGGCTTTGTTCTTCATGGAGTTCTTTGTGAAAACAATGTGAATTTTCATTCATGCAAATTAGTCCTAAATTAGCTTGAAGCTAGTTCCACATACCCTTAAGGGACAGAAAAATCAATGCAGGGAAGAAAATCTACTACCTTTTCTTCCCATATAAGGTGGTTCGCAGTGCTTTAAAAACTGACACCAACAGAGCTGCATAATATAGTCCCCGAAGAACCCTAATGGAATATCAAAGGAACAACGGTGGCTGGAACAGCTTCTCACAAAAACCTTTCTTTCAAGGTTCAGGGCAGACTAGAGGAATAAACTATTGATTTCAGCTCCCTGCAGTTAACATAGCACAACTCACTTGAGTCTGCTCTTTGCTGAACAGCTGGAGTTGAAAGCCCCTTTCTAACTTTGGAAAAGAAAAGATAATGGTCAACTTTACATATTGTGAAATGTTAGAGATATAAATAAAGTGGTACCT